ATGATTATGGGAAATATTATTAAGGAACAATCCCAATGGTAAAAAATGAAAAAACAAAAAAGAAAAGTTGAAAAGAAGACTTTTTAACGGGAAAATCCCCCACTAGTTGGTTGGATAAGTACAAGTAACCCTCTTTTTCCCTATGTATTTGCTTCATCTTTTTTTTTTATAGCAACTAGATTTGATCAATTTGTCCAATAGATACCAAGAAACTTAGTTTTTGCCTCCCTTTAGCATTCTATATAGCTAAAACTTGTATAACAAATTTCTTGCATATTTTGTCTTAAAGTAAATAAGAGATAGTAAAATTATTTATCTAACTCATAGAGTTTCTTAATCCGTTAAAGTTTGTGTTTATAATTATTAGTATCAATATCTTTACAGAGAAGACACTAGAAATTTTATCTTGGAATTGAAGAAGTATAGGAGCATATATCATATCTATGTTCGATACATATATCATATTTATGTTTATATGTGTTTTCTAGTCTAGTCACTAAGCCTTGGGTTTCACTTTTTTATATAAAATTTTTTAAATTTTATTGCATGATCCTAGGAAACTAATATAATAGGGTAACTAATAAATACAAATCTCTTTTAATATCAAATTTACCTATGAAGAGACTTCTTCCAATGGTGAGATTTATTAGTATATATGTCACAATTATAATTCTCGCTTGTTTAGATTAGTAAATATTTTAAATGGATATGAAGACTAATATTTTTCAACAAAAAATCATATGAAGAGATATATATTTAACAAATAGGCTTTCAAGCTTAGAGGTAATATCATAAATTTTGCACTTAAACGACTCTACTTATGGCCTGAAAAAAATCATTTAGATAGTGGTATCATCAATTTTATTAAGTTATCACATTAATAGGCTTTTTACTAGTCAAACTAGAATGTTGTGTCTAAGTTAGAAGAACTGATAAGAGAATTCCCATTCTTGATGAAGGGTTAAATTATTAATATTGATCAATGCCCCAAAAAAACAATGAAGAAAAGGAAATAAATGTCTAAACTTTTTATGCGAATACAATTAAATTTTTTATGTTTGCACTGATATGTACATTGTGTGATATTTTTTCATGTAGTTGAAATGGTTTGTAGATACATAAGCAATATTGGTGATGTTTATTGTATCTAAGTTAGGAGAATCTCGATATCTAAAAGGTATGACTAATCTTTCGTTGTGTTTTTATGTTGGTATTATCAAGGTAAATCGATATTTTCCTATTTATAGAGGCAATGAGAGGGATGATCGTCAAATCCACATTAAGATACACTAGCATATTTGTAGCTTCTTGGTTTATCAAGAAACAAAAATTAGTTGCACTATCTATGATGGAAGCAAAATATGTTGTTTAACAATACTACAAAAAGCTATATGATTAAAATATTTCTTGCAAAGCTTAAACTGTAGCGCCCGGGGAAATTGAAGAAAAAAAAAAAAAAAAAAAAAAACGTGCGTGCCACGTCAGCAGCCACGTCAGCAGACCCAGTCAGCAGGCCTGGCCAACCAAGACCTGCTACGTGGCAAAACCATGTCGACCGAGGACAGGCCACGTTGGTGATCCGCGTGCGCGCGATCGGACGGCCCAGATCAATCGCGCGCACGGACGGCCCAGATTTAATCGCACGGACGGCCCAGATTTAATCAAAAACGGACGGCCCAGATTAAATCAAAATGGACGGCTGAGATCAAAAGGCAAAAGGGTATAAATAAGACCCCCACACCAGACCCCAAACCCTAGCCGCCTGCCCTCGCCGGAGAAGACGAACCAGAAGCCGGCCGCCGCCACCCGCTGCCGCACCGGAGGGATTTCCGACCGCCGATCGAGGTAAATTTCATACCCCCAACTCGTTTTTCCACGCTAATTTCCCCAGTGGCTAAATCGGAGCCAAAATCCCAGCCAAACGGCCGAAAAACACGGCCGAAAGCCAGCGGCGCCGCCGCGCCCCTTCTCGGTTTTTGCCTCCGATGAGGCCCTTCCCGGCCACCGTTTAATGCAATTTTTATATCACCGTGATCACCATTCTTTTCTCTACAGGTTGATCGGAGCCGAATCACCAAAACACGAACTTCACCGGAGAGCCGCCGCACCCGAGAGCACCGCCGCCGGTAAGCTTCAGTTTTCCGTAAATTTTCTGCCCCCTGAGGGCCGTAGGGTTGTTTTATCGCAGGAACCAATGCGAGTGTGGCTGAATTCGGCCGGAAATGGCTGAAAACGGCCAACCCGAGGCAAACCGTCGCCGTAAGCGGCGGCGCCGTCGCCGGAGCACGGCGGAGCCGCCGTGCCAGAGTTGCGATATTGGCCGAAAGGGGCCCTGGGCCTAATTTGGAATTTTTTTAGAACACGTGCAGGTACCAGTAGTGCGTTTCAGTTCCCCGGGAAAAATTCAGAAAAAATTAGGGACAGCCTGCAAGCGCACTGTGAAGCCGTGTTCGGACCCCGAAACGAGTAAAGACCCCTCACCCTATTTCCTATCACGATTTTAAAGTTCAATAAATGATAAAACGGTATTTCATGAATCAACGAATGTGTGAAATTGCTTAAGGTTGCTAATGGAGCCCGAGTCTAGTGTGTTTGTCGGTTAACTGTTATTTGGCCTGTTTTACAGTTTTAAATGCAGTATGAGGTTCGAAGTTTTCATTTTATAGTTTCGTGTGCATATTCTACTGTTTTATTGATTATGGATTGAATGACCGGGATATTGATACTGTATGTTGTCTGTTTGGCATAAATTATCGTTTTGCTTGTTTGTATGTGATTGATAATGCTGACTGAGGGAAAAGGAGAATGAAAGATTATGTAAATGGAAATTGTATACTGTGGTCAGCCTGACTAGATATCCTGGGAGATGGTGGACGGACCGGGTCCGTAGGGAACCCTACCGGGATTGTGGTCTCCCATACCGGACGGGGTATGGGGACGACCCGTTTCACCCTCATACCGGACGGGGTAATGAGGTCTATGGTTTGGCGCCCATATCGGACGGGGTATGGGGACGGCCCTGGAATGTGGTTTCAAGTGTTAAGGATTAACGGGTAGCGGGACCCCTATGGATCCCCATGGATACTAGTGGGCTGGTAAATTAGGAAAATATGTTGTGTAACGATTGAATTACGGAAAGTTTGATAGATATTATGTTATACAGTTCATATATATGGTTTCATGATGATGATGATGTTATTGCTTTCGTATATTTGTTTTATGAATTTCACCGAGGTGAGTGAATGGTAAAGGTTTTATTATTAATAAAAGGATTTGGTGTAAATTATGCTCCATTGGTCTTTTTGTGTTTTCTACCCACCTTTACCTCCGTGACGGTGAGATATCGTGATGTCTTTACTGGGCTAGTGTAGCTCATTCCTTATTTAATCATTTCAGATCAAGAGGACATCGTTCCCGAGCCGGTTCTGTAGGAGGACGACGAAGGGGACGCCTAGAGTCTCCATAGTCATATTCGTAGTTTTTACTTTCAAGTTTTTCCTTTAAGTAGTTTGATCTTTTATATTTTGTGAGCACGTTTTTGGTTTTAGTGTAAGGGATGTTATTCAAATTTTGACTTCGCTTCCGCATTTGATATTTATAATATGAATTTCCGGGGCTGCTACATAAACATTACATCATGGATAAATAAATATTTTATGAGTAACTGTGATAATAAAATAATGATAATTTTTACAAAAAGATCCAAAGTGTAAAGGAATTTCTAAGTATACAAAGAAAAGATATCATTTCACAAGAGATACCATTCTACAAAAAAAAATTATCCTTAACAAAATATGATTGAATGTAGTTATATCAATGGACACTTGGTTATTTTATAGATTACTAAAAATTTTAGTTGTTCATGCTAGATTTTTTAAAATTTAAATTAATATATATTCTTCAAAAATTAATAGATTGTAATTAATCTATCATTAAGAATTTGATTTACACTAAATTTCACAATCGTGCCTATATAGAAGGTCTTGGTTTGGTTATTCATAGTATAAAGTAACAATAGTAATATTCCTTTGCAACTTCCTTCTATAAAATTGTATTTTTTATAATAAAAAAAAAAGTTATCAAATCACTTCTTGAAGTTTAACATTTATTACAATTTTTTTTAATATTTTTTTATTATAATTTAGTTTCTAACATTTAATATTTGTTTTAAACTTATAGTTTTATTTTTTGTTCTAACTAAAATTATTTAATTAAATTAGTATAATTTAACTATTTTAAAAAATAATTCAAAAAATAACTTTAATTATTAAATTAAATTAATAAATTAATAACAATAATAATA